GTTTGTGATCAGTTGTAGAACTCTGTAATAGCGTCCATCTATTGCAAAAAGAAACTTCTTTGATGAGTGGTGTACAGCATACTTGTCTGTAAATATAAGAATCCACATTTAGCATATGGTAAGAAATTTCATTTGTCTAGAGCTATGACAGATGTACAGTTTTCTCTAGAATCTATGACCTCTCCAACCATGTGTATTTGGCTATATTTACAGTGCCACCCATGAGTTCCCTCCCATTGAAAGGGATTTAAGTCCAATTAGGTAGTTGTTGATTACCCCTTAGATAAAAGTGCCACTACTGAACCAACAGAGATAGTTTGCTGTGCTAGCCATTGTGGTTATTAGGCTTTGCAGCTGGGTTGGGTCATTCATTGATTTTTCTCCCTTAGCAGTTTGCATAGTGTCTTCTAGATATATGAGAGCTAAACTTCATGTAGAAGCCTTCCATGTCAGTTCCTGCTCCATTGCTCCAAGTCCTGTGTCCAAAGTATGTCCTGTCTTCAGCAGTAGAGTCTTACCTTCAGGTTCTGGGAGGTAATCAAGGGCTGTGGCAATAGCCTGTGTTCTTTTGGGAGTCTTTTGGACTACCCTAACCAACAACTTGGGGAGGTGTGTCCTGTCTGACACTGTTTCTTGTTATATAGTCTTCAGGTATACACATGCTCAGATATTGTTCAGCTATTTTATGTGTATTTTTTTGGGGGGAGTTGGTTAATACATTTTCCTCTGGCATTTTATACCACGTAACTTTTATTTATCTCTCCTTTCTCTTTCTCCCTGTCTAACCTCCTTCCTGCCTTCCCAGTTTAAGCGCTCCCATTTTCCCTTGATGATATCTGTCTCCTATTATCCCTCTTCCCTTGAGTTCCTTCTTCCCTTCACCCCATGGTTCCCTGTGTGTCCTTCCTTCCAACCTTCCCAGCTGAGTACCCCCATTTTCCACATTTCCCACTTGGTAACATTTGTTACCTACTATCCCCCTCTCAGGGTCTTTCTTTCCTTTTACCTCTGTGGTTCCTATCCATTTTCCTGGCTCCCGCTGTTACATCAGGATATATACTCACATGTAGGGGCTTGGTGCTAAGATCCACAAATAAGGGAGAACATATGTCTTTTGTTTTTCTGAGTTTGTGTTACTTCACCTAGTGTAACAGTTTCTAGTTCAATCCGTTTACCTGCAAATTTCATAATCTCATTTTTCCTTACTACTGAGTAGAACTCCATTGAGTAGATACATCACATTTTCATTATCCATTCATCAGTTGAGAGACATTTAGCTTGTTTCCATTTCTTAGCTACTGTGAAAAGAGCAGCAACAAGCATGGATGTACAGGTATCTCCATAGTAAGATGAATCCTTTGGGTATATGTCAAGGAATGGTAAAACTGGATCATGTAGTAGATTCATTTTTAATTTTTAAAGAGTTCTCCACACTACTTTCCATAGTGGTTGCATGAGTTTGCATTCCCACCAGCAGTGAAATGAGTGTTTCCTTTTCTCCACAACCTCACCAGCATTTGGTGTCTTTTGTTCTCTTGATCTTAACCAGTCTTGACTGTGGTAAGATGAAATCTTAAAGTGGTTTTGATCTGTGTTTCTGTAATGATTTTTGGTGTCATCAAAGCCATATATATTCATAAGAAAGTTGAAAAATACAGAAAAGTGAGAAGAAAGCAAAAATTTCCATCAGTTTTGTTGCTTACAAATATTCACTATTTTTATTTTATGTATTTACTTCTAATATTTTTGCAAATGTTACATTTCCATTGTAGCAATCATATTTTATATTAAATGTATCTTGATTTCAATTACTACTATAGTCTAAGCATTTTTGTTATTATAAAGTGTGGAAATATCAGTTTGACTGACTATATACTATTCCATTTGCAGGACTGTATAGTAATTACTTAACCATTGACCAATCTTTTTTCTCAGCATTTAAAAAGTTCTGGGAAATACTGGAATTAACATAGTGAATTAAAACTCTGTGTCCATCTCTGTTTCCGCAGGATTCATTCATTATACAATTGTTACTGAGGGATTACTATGTTCTATGTACTATTCTAGGTGCCAGATCTCTGCCTTTAGTGACATATTGACATTTATTGAGATAAAGAACCTTGGAGGAAAAACAAATTTAAGAGCCAAGGTGATGGGTACAGCTTTGGTTGTGTTGAGTTTGAGGCAGCTGCAGGACAGCTAAGTGGAGATGTAAAGAAACAGAGTTCCAGATGTAAGACTTCAAATCTTGGTCTCCAATACTGTAGTGCCCACCTGTAGCTAAGGGAGACAACCTGCTATTATTCTAAAATGATGGATAAATTTGTTTTCTCCCCCTATCTAGAAGCCTTTGAGAGGGAACTGACACTGATTCTAACCACTCCAACAGTTATCAAAATACGTGAAAGCAAATCCTAAATCCATCACTCTAGAGTCCAGCCTTGGAAGACAAAAGAAAAATGAGGAGGAACCCAATAGAGGGATGCTTTTGGAAGCCCTTGTCAAGAAATTCCAATGGACTCATATGAACATTTGAAAATTGCCCTGTTCTGACTTTTTTCTAGTTCCCTGTCTAGAATTTGTAATGCTAATTACTCTTGCCTTTACTTCTCCTTCACATCTCCTATTCACGACTCAAGGACTTTCTTTTCCCCTTAGAGATAAGAGTTATGCAATTTGGGAGTCTTTTAGATAGACCCACTGAAGGGGTACTCCAATTGCCTCACCCTGCATCCCTGGTCAGTGTCGAAGAAGCCAGAGCGGTCTGTGTCCCTATTCCATATTGGCAATTTGGGTAACCTCTTCAGAGGATGGTGTGATAAGAATAGGAGGTAGGAATTGGCTAGGCAGTTAGGGTAAAAAGACCCCAAAGAAAAGTAGCCAGTTTCTTGGCTAAAAGTCAAAATGTCCTTGGGACTGTTAGCAACATACTCTGTTCCAAATGGCCAAAAATGTCGAAAGTATTTGGGAGCTTGTATGTAATCCTTAAAAGATTTTAGGGTTACCTCTTCAGAGGGGGGACTGTTGGAGGGGAGGGAGTGGGCATGGATTTGATCAAAACACCTTATATGCATGTATGAAATTCTCAAGTTTTTGTAAGAGTGGGGATATATGGGAGGAGTTGGAGGGGAGGGATTGGGCAAGGATTTGATCTAAACACCCTATATGCATGTATGAAATTCTCAATAAATTATTTATTTAAATAAAGAAAACAGAGCTCAATATAGCTGAGTAGAATTACAGAATTACAGTTGTGGTCATATAGATAGTAATTAACATTAAATAAGTGAAAGTGATCGTTTAGAGAGAACATATTTATCGTCACTCTGAGATTGCCTGATTTTCAAAGGTCAGATAGCAAAACATGAAACCTTTATGGAGATAGAGAAGGCAGAAGACTAGGAAGAAAAGCAAGACAGTATGATGTCACCGATACCATAGGAATCATTTCAAGAACGAAATGCTTAACAGGGCTGAATGTAGGGAAGAGGTCAAGCAAGATAAGGACCATCAATGCTTTGTTTATTTATCAAAGGATTTATTGGCATAGATCACTGGTTTGCTAACTAGTTAAGCTCAGCTTCTATGGGGGAAGGAAAACAGGCTGAGCATTAAGAAATAAATGGGAAGTGGAGGAGTTAAAATAGCAGATGTGCCTTATCTATAAAGTACGTTTTCAACAAGTTTTCCCTTAAAGAGAAGTTGTAGAGACCTTACATGTCAGTAGGATATATATAAATTGTGATGACAGGTGAGATGTTAACATCTTTCATGGCTCATGTGAGGCAAAGGACAGAGATGAAGGGGGAAATATGAGCAAACCCAAGCATTTGAAAGTGTGCTGATGTACATTACTCACATGCATCAAAAGTGATCCTTAAGCAGTATATGTATGTTCCTGTTAGTAGTTATGAAAGTCCTTGTTTCGTGATTACTCTGTCATCGTGAAATATTTAGAAAACACCCCACAAAGCAGTTTGCTAAATAATCACATTATTGGGGCTGGAGAGATGGTTCAGTGGTTAAGAGCACTGACTGCTCTTGCAGAGGATCCCGGCTTGATTCCCAGCACCCACATGGCAGTTACAATCAGTCCTTAAGTCCAGTTCCAGGGGAATCTGAAGCTCTCTTCTTACCTCCATGGCATTGCAGGACATGGGTGCACTCACATACATGCAGGCAATACACTCATACACATAAAATAAAAGTAATAAATAAAATATTTAATTAAAAATCACATTATTGTTTAATTAGCTCTTCTTTAATTTCTAGTGAGTTGAATATTTTAACCAGTTGGGCTGTGAGTGTGAATTTCATCTATATCCTTTGTCTAAACCGCTTCTATTTTACATAGATAACAAAAAGCCAAAAGTTAGTCACAATGGCCCGTATTTTGTCTTTCCCCAAATGAAGTGAGACTCTTCTTTCCTCCTTTTTTATGTGCCCCCCATTACTCTCTCCCGTTCCCTTCCACTCCAGGTGATCACCTTCCTTTTCCCACCTAATCACGTTTCTACTTCTTCCCCCAACCCCTTTCTTTTTGATGATCTGGTGAGCTTCATTCGGGTCACTTACGGGGTCCATGTGAGCGATTATTTACAAAAGTAGCATGGGTAACTAACCAGTGGCTTCACCTTTGAGGAAGTTATCTTTGCCTCTCCCAGTGAGACTCTTATTTTCTTGGAAGTTCTTGACAGTTGGACAACTTTTGGCTTAGCTGAACAAAGAGGTACGTGGTGGTTTTGTTTTTTTTTTTAAACTAAACATTTATGAGTGTAACAGCAGGTAGAAACAAGCAGGGGAGGAGGAGGTACATCTAGTCTTGGATCCGGTAGCTGTCTCGTAACCCAGGAGGACATTTTTCCAGTACCTTAACACTTGGCACTCTTTACTGTGCTCGGCGGCCCCTGCTGAGGATCCTGGAGCTCCGCACGGCTCCTTTAAGAGTGCAGCTCCTCCCCGCTCCAGGGAAAGTTGCAGCTTTTTCCGCCTCCCGGGAGGGTGAGAAGGGCCGGCGGGCCAAGCAGGGCTGAGGTCTTCTTTGGAGCCCGAGACCCTCCCCTGCATTGAGCACCCGGACCTTGGTTCTCCGGTGGCACCTGTTGCTGGCGACAGGTAGGTCCGCAGCCGGTGGCCTAGCGCCCCCTCGCCCTCTGTCCGGGACTTCCCGGGCCCTAGCCCCGCTTCGGCGTAGTGTGCCCACCCGTGTGCCGGACGCTCCCAGCGCCCGGGCTCCGCGGTCCGTGTTCTCGGTCCCCAGCTGCCGCGGCCCCTCTGCCATGTCGGCGTCTCAGGACCGCACCCCCACGCACTGCCTCGGGTCCGCTGGGCGGTCCCCCGCCACTTTCCCTTCTCTCGGCTGCTTCTGCCCACTTCCCGGGACAGTGTCTCTCGGGGTGCCGCCTCTGCCAGGGTAGCCCCGGCCCCGCGAGTCCAGTCTTTCCCGCTAGCTCGGCGCTCCGGCAGAGCTGGCCCGGGAGCGCTGTGGGACCGCGCTGCTAGCTGAGCGCCCCTGAACACGGCAGTAGCCTCTTAGGCTGTTTCCCGCACCGCTTGGCTGTCCTGCAGGTTCTCTGGCTCGGCCAACACAGTGTTCTAATTTCAGATCTCTAGGCTTCTGATTCTCTGACCTCATCTCTCCACCACAGGTAGAGGGTAAAGGCCGCCAGGCTCTGAGTTCTGCCTCAGTGGGCTCCCTTTGGGCGTGGGGCTGGAGACCCAGCTGTGTGCTTTGGAGCTGAACTCCTCTGTCTTGTCTTTTTCCAAGCAGGCTGTGGTGATTTGGTCCTGGAGGAAAGGGACTCCAGCCTGTATGGAACATTGGAGAAGATGGAGGGTGGGGAGGGAGAAGTTGACGGTGAGATAATTCGGTTAAAATTCAGGTAGCTAGAAAAAAGTGCTGTTTTTTATTAATCAATCGTTTCTTTCCCTAGTAGGTTCCTTCTTCAAGACAAGACGACCTAGAATCACACAGTACAGTTTTTGGTAGTATTCTGTACATTTGTGGGAAAAATTAGACTCCAGTACATTCCTGGCCTCCCCCCTCATTTTTCTCCATCCCTCCCTCACTCCCTCCGTCCCTGTCTCCCTCCCTCCCTCTCTCTCTCTTTCTTTCATGGGGGTAGGCTCTAGTAGGCTCTTGGCTGCATGTGCTTGTCTTAAAGTTAGAAGCCTATAATACTGGATATTAGGGATGTATTGTCTGGATTCTAGAGATATGCAACTAACTAGCCCAGGCTAGCCTGGAATCCATTATGTAGACCAGGTTGGCCTCCAACTGGCTGGCAATCTTCTGGCCTCTGCCTTTCAGAATGCTGGTAGTACAGGTGTGCAACACCACAGCTAGTTGTGTGCTTCCTATTTTTTAACTTAATGCTTTTCTGCTCTCTCTCAGGTCCCTATCCCCACTACTTATAAATATGTCGATACTAAAGGGTTAAGCTATAGCTCTGGGTTTTCTATGTTTTACTTGGTGTGCATGTGTTTAAGCACCCGCTGCAAATCCTAGTACCAAAAACCCACCAACTTGGTTTGTGAGGCTCTCCTTGGGTAGCACATGAGTATTTTTGGTAACAGAATTTCAGATGCTTCAATCTAGGCAAGTGGTGAGCTTGAGTTTGGAGGCCTGTTCTGGGGTAATTGCTCTGTGATTATATGTAGCATTCTGGCTGATACTCTGAGCACTTCTTCAAGGCTAGAACTAATACTTGTTCAAATTGATGGAGTCAGGCATGGTGGTAAGTTCTCCTAAGTACCTCATATAATCCTCATAGTAACAATACTGTAGGTGCTGCAGTTAGCACTATGCTACAGTGCAAAGGAGACCAAGAGATTGAGTGCAATGCCCCAAAGTACCCTCTGACCAGGGGGGTAGAGTTGATGTTCCCATCCTGCTCATACTATCTCTACTGCGTTGGATATTAGGAACACTCAAACTTTATGGGTGAAGACGAAGCAATGAAACACTTCTAAACTGAAGCATTAAGTTTTTGTCTTTAGTTCCATCTTGGGTGCACTGTGGAGGATTTCAAACACTTACCTCACTTGTGCTTTATCCACTTAGTTCCTAACACAGGGCCAGGTGCACATTGCCACTGTAAGTCCACATCCCTGAGTGTACCTGGATGGATGAAATCTTGCAGATTCTTGGCTGCATGTGTTTGTCTTAAAGTTAGAAGCCCATAATCCTGGATTTTAGGGATGTATGTCTGTATTCTTGAGATATGTAACTAACTCAACTTCCTTTCCTGAAGTCTAGGGGAGACATGAAGGTGTACCAGCTGATAAGTATTTCCCGGCAGTCACATCAGATAAACTAAGAGTGACAGTCTGCAACCTAGGCCAAGACTGTCAAGGAGAAAATGTCTTCCTTAGTCCAACCTCTGGAAATTTACTTAAACTGTTCTTTTCCTCTGGAAAACTTGCTACCCATGCCCTTCCCTCACCATTAATTCATATTCTTCTCTCAGGATTTAGCTCTAAGGTCACTGCTTTTGAGATGACCTTACTGAACACACACTTCCTTCCTTCAAACAGAATTTTTAGTTTTTCTGTGTCCTTAAAGTACTTTGTTTATACTTCAACAAAGGCCCTCACAACATTCTGTTTTCTCATCTGGAAGTTCATAATCTCTGTAAGGGCAGTGACTGAATCTCGAAATATAAATATTTATGCTAGGAGTTGGGGATGTCACCCCCTTAGTGCATTGAGATGTGGTGATGGCGAGGCTAAAGTACAGATGATACCATCCTAACAGACATAAATGTCACCTCTGTTGTGAGGCAATCACTGACTACCGTACTTAAACTTGCAACCCCTTCTCTAAACACTTTTATACCTCTTTCCTCCCTTACTGCATCCTTCCTGCTTATTGTTGCTCCTCCTCCCCATAACACTGAGTAGATGTGGATAAGAATTGCTTCCCTCAAGTCCCATGGAAGCTCAAGCCAGACAAAACCCCAGCATAGATGTGGGGACATGAGTAAGAAACCCCAACTGTGCACGAGGAACTATTGGCAGCTGATGGCTGCTGCGAGGGGGGAAAGACAATCTCTTTCAATGGTATGACTCTTGGTAGGTTAACCAGGCTCCAGTGGGTGAACCCACACCTAAGGTATATATAAAATAGAGTACATTAAATTGGGCAGGAGTAGTAAATGGGCATGTAGATAGGGAAGAGGATCGAAATACAATCAAAATGTATGAAATTCTGAAAAATTCAATAAAAGAAGGAAAAAAAAAAGAGGAATTGCTGCCTTGTATTCAGTGATGGTCCCAGGAAACAGTGCTGGGCATATCACAGGGGCATACTGATATTTGTTCAGTAAATGAATGAATGATATTGCCGTTCTAGGAGTTAGAACTCTTTTGTACTCTCCTGGGTTTGAAACTAAGCCTGTCCATTTTGTTACTCTAAAAGTATAAGGTTGCCCCAGGCCCAGTTCTCACATAGCTTTTCTTCTGCTTGATTTTGCCTAGAGATGCTATTCTTGATAACAACTTTGACCTAAATAGAAGTATTTCCTCTCTCTCTCTGTTTCTGTCTCTGTCTCTGTCTCTCTCTTTCTTTAAATTTTAATTTTTTGAAACAGTCTCACAATACATCCTAGGCTGGCCTAGAACTCACTGTGTATCTCAGCTGGCCTCAAACTCACAGCAGTTCTCCTGCCTCAGCCTTCTGAGTGCTGAGATTGCAGGTAGGACTCACCATGCCAGGTTGGCACCTCTTTTTTTAATCTTTAAGAACAGGTCTCTGGATGGAACCTTCTAAATGTTCAAAATGGAAATGTAAAGATGGTATGCCTCTTGCTGCATCTTCTTAATGGAGGTTACACTGGGATCAGAGATGTGAATTCTCAGCCGTCCTGAGACCTTTCAAGCATTTGGCAAAGAAAGTTACTGGGCAACAGGAAAGTGAATAGCTCAAAAGACTAAAAGTAGGGTTCTGGTCCCAAGTCACATGCTTTTTAGGTATGGTGTAGTTATAGGGTTATGAACTTTATGGAGAAGCTACAGATGAGTCCTTTTTGAAGAACCCTTGGCTAGTTGTATACTGGATTATATGGTTTGAGGTAGCAAAAAAAAATGTGCTGTTTGCTTGGCTGGAGAGATAGCTCGACAATTAAGAGCACTGGCTGCTCTTGCAGGGGACCTGGGTTCAGTTCCCACCACCGGCATAGCACCTAACAACTATTGGTAACTGCAGTTCCAGGGAACCTGACGCCCTCTTCTGGTCTCTATGGGCATTGCATGACACAGGTGCGTTTACATTTAGACAAAACACTCATACACATAAAATAAAGATAAAAAACTTAAAAATACACTTTAAAAAAGTGCTGTTTTGTTTAAATGTATTTTGGAATATTTAGCTAGGAAAGAGGGTCAGAATCTCTTTAAAGTCAAATTTGGTGGGAGCTGGGACCTGGAAAAGGTAGTGAGTCTCTATTTCTTATGTGCTAACTCTTTTGAAATTCAAGTTTGCACACACACAAAAAAACTTCTCAGCCTCTTTAAAATTTACCATTCCAAACTTTGAACCCTGGAGTGTCTCACAGCTCAGTCTGCAGATTTTTTCCACTCACAACTTTCTTAGATGTTCTCATCCAGCACCAGTGCTTCAACATCTATCTAGGTATTGTAACTACCAAACTTGTTTTTGACCTAGGCCTTTCTTCTAAGCTGAAGCCTCATGTTCTTAGTGACCTATTTGATATCTCTACTTGCCATCTGATAGATACCTCAAGGGCCAAATGAGTATTGCTGTTTGCCCTAACATCTTCAGCAACCTCCCTTCAGGCTGCCATGACTCTGTAAAGGGCCCAGTTATTCATTTAGTTGTTTAAACCAAGAATGTAATGTCACCCAAGCTACACCGAACAATCTTGTACAATGGTCAAAGATTATATATATATATATTCTGTGAAATAACTATGTGGGTGTGCAGTGTATCTGTGTATGTGCATATGTGGTTGTGGTTGTGCACATAGAGGCTAGATCAGCGGAGGGTGTTGGGTGTCCTGCTCAAGCATTTCTGCTTTATTCACTTGAGACAGGTTCTCTCACTGACCTTGGAGCTTGCCACACTTTAGTTAGGCTGGCAGCCAGTGAGCTCCAGT